TAGTAAATAAGTTGAATTTTGACTTACTGTTTCATTACAAATTCTGACATTGTATGTCTTGTTTTCATCCTTCTTAACATTATCTGCTTTTGACTTTTCCAGCTAAGAGTAAAAATAGACCCAGACCAATGCTGAAATCTTAAAGGCAGATACCCATTCCGATATTTGAAGGTTTAAAAATCTGTTTGAAAACATGCTATTTTTAATGACAGTGACTTGTTTCACCATTGCAGAAATAAGACAAATACTTTCATGTACATACATTAATTTTCTGTTTTTTCTGATGGCCTAAAATTTCACAGGCAGAGACAGACAGACAGAGGCATGGCGTGCATGACTGCTGTCAGGATTATTCAGGTTATATAAAGGGAGAAATGAAGGGGCATGGTTTATTATCATTTAACCAATATATTTCACATGGAAATGAGCACCTTACCCGGAAGGCATGTAACAGTGTCTTCCACACTGCACAGTGTGTTGCTAACAGTGGAGTCGCAGTGCTCTCCACTGGATAAACTATGCAATACAATACAAAACTTTGTGTATTAAGCAGAACCACACAGCCTACTTTTAGTAGAATAAGATAGGGTGTAAAGATGGACCCACATTAACACCTGTCTGTTGATTTTCTCTCTGCAGGTATCACCAGTCTCCTGGGAAGCGGTATCTATACAGCAGCTTACCCTCTTCATGATGTGAGTAATGATCCTGGCACTATAGATCATTATTATAGGGAGTACTGGTTCCAAATCATGCTTGTGTTTTACTCAAACTGCAGTCAGTGTTTATAGTAACTATATGCCTTATTGTTTCTCTTTCCTCTTTCAGGGAGATATTAATGAGGATAGCGCAGAGCCCAATGACAGAAAGGTGAGGTTGTTTTTTAGACTTATGAAAGCCAGCATATATTTCTTCAGCCTGCTGTTCATGGTTTGCTTTTTTCAGCTTTACTTGCACATGTACAGCCCGAGCACGAACCGTGAGGTCTCTATTGAAACTCAAGGGATTATATTTTTTCTTTTTTCTGCAAAGTAAGCTAATTTTTGGCGGCCTAAACATGCTCAAAAAAAGGAGTAATTTATGGGTCTTGCACATGGGTGTGGCAAAATGGCTCACTAGTGCCACCTACAAAATAGGAAAAAATTTGCCCCTCAGCCACGAATTTTCTGGGCACATCTATCATAATAAGACACACAAAAAAAACCTCAAGGACCTTGACACCCTTAACGCAACAGGATGTACGCCATTTTGAGTTGAAAGTGAAATTTTAACCCATTTTATACCATTTACAGGGTGCATACTTTAAAGCCCCCCTCCAGTGTATTTTGACATTTCTATGATATTTCATATTTCCTTACAATATTGATTACCCACATAGTTTGCCAAATATTTTTGACAAATAGCTTAATTTTGTGCTCAAAGTTGCTTGCTTTTTAAAAGGGGGTGGTGATGTATGACTATAGTAAGTCATACATCATTCTCATGCCTCGTTAAAAAAACTGTCAAGCCTCGTTAAGTCAGAGCATCAAACTGATAAACATTGATGTGAGCTAGCTAACCAATTTATCATGTAATTTACTTAGAACTTACAGCAGGTATGTTCATTATGGCATCTGTGCGTGCGGTGTTGGAGGACCGATGACAGGCCACACCTGTCACCGTCTTATACACAGTCTGCAACATGCATTTTACTGACGGCCGTTTTACCAATGCATCAGCGGAGGCACCCACCCCCGTGGTAAAGTAAGCGCACCATAAAACGTAGTGGGAGTTATCGTGTGCACTGCGTGACAGGACCATCGACTGTATGATTGACAGCTGATACGCGCACATTAGTTTCTATCATGGGTAAGTAATGGCTACTCCTGCCAGACAGTAAAGTGTACTAAACTTTACAGTGTAGTGATGTTAACACAGCATATCGTTTGTGAACACTCCAGCCGATCAGTTTTTGGTTGTCATGGTAATGTATTACGTCCGACTATTAAGCACACCCCCATTCTCTGTTTGAGAAAGAACGTTCACCAAAAACGGCAGTTAAAACTAGCTGGAGGGGGGCTTTAACAAACTCCTCCTAGAGAATTAATCTGTTCAACTTCAAATTTTCGTGATTTTATACGTTTGATAAGAGTCTCGCCCTGAATGCATGTAAAAGACAACATTCACCCATAGTGACCTTCAAAGATGCAGCCCCCGCGGCGCGTTTTACCTACATGCATGAAATTTCTGTGGTACATATATCATGTCCAGATGTACAAAAAAGCCTCTTGGAGCGATGCCCTAAACTCAACAGGAAGTCTGCCATTTTGAATTTTATGGTCATTTTTGGATTTTTTACACACTCCAGACTTTAACAAACTCCTCCTAGAGAATTAATCCGACTGACTTCAGATTATTCCTGTCTACTCTAAAGCTCTAAACTCTAAAACAGTGAGTTTTCATGAAATGGTGAGCCCGTGGCAGGGCGTCCAAAATCAATGATTCGCCATGAAAGAGGAAGTTGTTATAACTTCAGTGTACATGCTCACATCTGTACCAGAAAACCCTTAACACATTGACAATGCCATGTGATAAAACTTGTGAGTTTTCGGTTAATGGCATGGCGGTGGCGTGGCGGCGAAAGTTACAAGCTTTGCCATGACACAGGAAGTCACTGCACGTGCTCAGATCTGTACCAAATTTTACACTTTTAATCGTTACGCCCTTAACACATCCACATGTCAACATTCACTCAAAGCCATAGCGCCACCGGCTGGCAACAAGACGTGACCTTTAACGAAGGAACCCCCGCGGCATGTTTCACCTAAATATGCGAAATGTCTGTGGCACATCTGTCACATGTGTCCTCCTAGAGAATTAGTCCGACCGACTTCAGATTTTCAATGTGTACTCTAAACCCATTGACAATTAAAATTTGTACAAACGGTGAGTTTTTGTGGAACAGCGTGCCCGTGGTGTCCAAAATCGATGATTCACCATGAAACAGGAAGTTGTTAGAACTTCAGTCTACACGCTCACATCTACACCAAACTTTACATGTTTGATAAGAGTCCCGCCCTGAAGACATCTACAAGCCAAAATTCACCCATAGTCACAGCGCCACCTGTTGGCAACAGGTAGTGACTACGTTTATGCTGTGATGAACCACTTCTTGCAGGTTGGCTATATGTACTTCAAAATTATCTCAGAAAACTCTTAACACATTGATGATGTCATGTTGTAAAGCCTGTAAGCTTTCCTTCAATGGTGTGTCCTTGGCGGGGTGGCGAAGTTCCATGCTTAGCCGTGAAACAGGAAGTCATCATAACTTAACTGTACATGCTTAAATCTGTACCAAACTTTGCGTGCTTCATAACTTTCCTGCCCCGAACACATCTACACTCCAATGTCTACCTGTAGTCGTAGTGCCAAGTGCTCTACAGCGCCATAAAGGGGACACAACAACTTTGTATCCGAAGCGCACAGCAAATTCACAACTGCACGGGCAGAGCTCCAGAATCTGCAACACAGCCGCCTCCCACCTCGACACGCTACATGTGCGAGGGCCCGCCCAACGCTGCTTGCAGCTTTAATTATTATTAGGGTTCAAACTGCGATGGAGGCGCTGTAATTGAGGCACAAAAACCATAGGTTTTGAAAGGCCACTACCACACACCATAATTCTGATAGACTTGAAATGTCTCACACAGGTGCAGCTCAATGTGTGTCTCAATGTCTACAAAAAAGCCCTAGGTATACATCTTTAAGGTCCGCCTACAAAAAAATCTCCATTTTGGATTTTTTGAAAAATACATTTTTTACATCTCCTCCTACACTACTAGCTCTGACTGCCACCAATTTTCTCTGAATAATCACTGCATATATAAAGTTGTATAAAGCTTGGTGTTGTCTCCTTTCTTCTGAAAATACTGACCAATAAACACAGAGAGGAACGGTGCTCAGGATATAAATAGAAAACAATTCAACGTTCAACGTTTGGTCCATCATCATCACAAAACCCATAGGATACATCCACACGAGTGCCGAAAATATACCTTGAAAGTTCAATTGAAACGACCACTAGGGGGCACCTTAAATGCACAATAACTGGACATGAAATGACACAAATTACAAAACTTGCAGGATATGTTTCATAATAATGTTGAACCACATGTGTGAAATGAGGTCCCTTTTGCAAAAAAAGGTTTAAATCCACGAATCGCCACTTGCAGCTTTATTCTATATTTTTCTTACAGTGATAAAAAAAACTCTAATTATGAATTAACTGTTCAAACATTGATTGTGTATATATCCAATGCTTGATATATCTTATCACTCTGTGCCATAGAGCTCCCTTTTATCTGAAACACATCAATGAGCCACACCAACCACATTTTGAGTCAGTAACACCTGCTGCCGAAAATTCTCAAAGTATGCTGCTGATCAGCCATTAGAGCAAGCAGTACAGTTTCAAGTTTTTGACTTTTTTTCAACTCATGGAGTCAGTCAAATGATGTCAGTCTAAATGCCAGCATGTAACTCAGTTTCACACTATACAATTTAAACCTTTGTTCGCATAACATTTGCTTGTGGGTTGAGGGCAATATGGGGAGAATGGGAAAAGACCAACAATGCGACAAGGGGAATTGCACTTCAGGAAATACCTTACCCTCTAACCTTAAATATTATTTGGATTATTAATGAAGACACACAGCCTTATCACTGAGGCAAGACTATGGGTTTCCACGATTAACCAGATGTTTTATTGGAATAATCAAAATAATCATAACAAGCAGGTACTGGAGGTGCTGGGAAAGAGTTCATATTAATAAGAAAATGTCTAAAATCGGCATTGTGCATCCACAATAGTAATTTATAAATTACAATTATGCTAAAAGGGCAAATTACAACATCTAAAACCTCTGGTGAACCATATCACTAACTAAATTTGTCAATCCAACATCACCTATAAAAAGTGAACTGAGGCCACTTGTAGGGAGGCAGACTACAAGCTGCTTTTACTCACATGGCTAGCCTCCCAACGATATGGCACTCTGTTTTAGTGAAAAAAACACAATATAAAACAATTATCAGCAAAACAAAGTAAACTAAACAAGGAAAGACAAAAAGTAAACAATATTTTTCTTGAGCTTAAACTGATCCTTATTTTCATTTCTTTGAATCTTCCTCATTTAATGATTTCCTTCCTGCCTCCACATTGCAGGGACTCTGCTTGCTTTCTTTCTTCTTTTCTTTTCTTTGCTCCTATTGCAGTTGTTCTTCCCACATGTCCAACATGTTCTGGATCCTCTACAAACTGCGGCAACATGTCTATATTCCTGACAAAAGAAACATCACCCTGTATCACACATAATCCAAATATATCCTTTCTGACATCATCAGAAATGATCATCAGAGCGCATCAGCTCACTCCCAACCCTGAGAGGACAATCCACCGTGTTTTTGTGTACAACACTTTTATCTCTTATCCCAGCTGCAAATCTTTAAGTGCACACTGGAGCTCACATTCATAATCAGAAAGAAGCACAGACACAATCAGGCGGTCACCAAACCAAAGCACTCTCCACTGCTTGTCTGTAACAATTTATCCACTTTTCCCATGAGACGTGGCCTGTGCCGACCAATCACAGTCAGCATGTCAAAACATCCACTTCTGTTGTGACACAATCACATATTTCTGTCAAAACGCACATATTTCCAACCTGCCTTGAACCGCATTGACCTCCATCTGAGATTAGCACCACCTCAGAAAAGATACTTTTTTTGCATCACTTCCAATATAAGCCCTTGAACAAGACCAAACACTTCCACACTAAGAGATAATATAAATAAAATCAGTCTATAAGATATAGAATCATAGCTGCTTATAC